GGGCAGGCCCATCTCCTTTCCCCTCTTCTCTCGCTCTTCTCCTTCGCTGGTTTTCCCTGTCTGCCTTCTCCTGGTCTGTCGGCTCTACCAGCTACCCACCCACCTGTCATCATCCCCCCCCCCCCCCCCAGTGGCCCATCTAGTCCAACACTCTGTCAAACGGTGGCCAAAAATACCAGGGGCCATCAGGAGGTCCACCAGTGGGGCCAGGACACCAGAAGCCCTCCCACTCTTGCCCCCCCCTAAGCACCAAGAATGCAGAGCATCACTTGCCCCAGGCAGAGTGTTCCATCTATAAGAACATAAGAGACGCCAATGTTGGATCAGGCCAAAGGTCCCTCCAGTCCAACACTTGGTGTCACACAGTGGCCAAAAATACCAGGTGCCGTCAGGAGGTCCAGCAGTGGGGCCAGGACACTAGAAGCCCTCCCACTGTCCCCCCCCCAAAGCACCAAGAAGACAGAGCATCCCTTGCCCCAGACATAAGAACAGAAGAGAAGCCATGTTGGATCAGGCCAGTGGCCCATCACGTCCAACACTCGGTGTCACACAGTGGCCAGAAATACCAGGTGCCCTCAGGAGGTCCAGCAGTGGGGCCAGGACATTAGAAGCCCTCCCACTGTTGCCCCCCCCCAAGCACCAAGAAGACAGAGCATCACTTGCCACAGACATAAGAACAGAAGAGAAGCCATGTTGGATCAGGCCAGTGGCCTTTCCAGTCCAGCACTCTGTGTCACACAGTGGCGAAAGCCAGCAGGGCCGGAACTCCAGCAGCCCTCCCACTCTTGCCCCAAGAAGGCAGAGCGTCTCTGCCCAAAACAGTGTTCCATCTAGCCCTTGTGGCTAATAGCCACCGATGGACCTCTGCTCCATGATAAGGACATAATAGATGTTCTGCATCTTTACTTTCCCTTGCTGCCTTTTGAATGCCTCTTCCTTAGCTTCCCCCTCTCTCCCCCTCTCTTTGGTGTGATTTCCCCCCCCCCTTCCCGGGGCTACCACAAATGGGGCCCTGGAATCTTCCGTGTTGTTTGTGGGGGGCCCTACAAGCTCCCAGAAGGGCCACTGAGATCTCCTGCGACTTTTGCAAGATCTCACTGATGCACTTTTCCTAAAGCGGCATTTATGGCTTCTGTGATTCGGGGGCTTTTCTGATCCCCGGTATGTCTTTTTGTTTTGTGTTTTGCACACTTGGGGTCGTCCCCCCACCCCCCCGGCCGCCTTGCTGAAAAATCCCCCATCTGTTCCTGGCCTCATTGTGTGACCCAACTCAGAACTGGATGTAATGATGGATTGACTTGGATAAACACCTGGAGCAGAGGTCCATCAGGGGCTCTTAGCCACAAGGTTTAGATAGGGACTCTCAGTCTGGGGCAAGTGATGCTCTGTAGTCTTGGTGCTTGCGGGGGGGGGGGCAAGAGTGGGAGGGGCTCCTAGCGTCCTGGCCGGATTTTTATTGCAACTCTACTTGTACTCTAATGTTTTCCAATGGAGCCCATGCAAGTTTTTTTTGCATTCCTGGCTCCCATTATTTCCAATGGGCCTTCCAGCGTCTCCTATTGTTTCCAGTGGGCAATCCTGTCCTTCATTTTAGTACATCCCTTCCTGGCCCCCACTGCTGGACCCCCTGAGGGCACCTGGTATTCTTGGCCACTGTGTGACAGAGTGTTGGACTGGATGGGCCTTTGGCCTGATCCAACATTGGCTTCTCTTATGTTCTTATATGAACTCTCAGTCTGGGGCAAGGGATGCTCTGTCTTCTTGGTGCTTGGGGGGGTCAACAGTGGGAAGGCTTCTAATGTCATGGCCCCACTGCTGGACCTCCTGAGGGACCCCGGTATTTTTGGCCACTGTGTGACACAGAGTGTTGGACTGGATGGGCCATTGGCCAGATCCAACACTGGCTTATCTTATGTTCTTAAGGTATAGATAGGAACTTTCGGGTTTGGGGCACGGAATGCTAGGTCTTCTTGGTGCTTGGGGGGGGCAAGAGTGGGAGGGCTCCTAGTGTCCTGGCCCCACTGCTGGACCTCCTGATGGCCCCTGGAATTTTGGCCACTGTGTGACACAGAGTCTTGGACTGGATGGGCCTTTGGCCTGATCCAACACTGGCTTCTCTTATGTTCTTATATGAACTCTTGGTCTGGGGCACGGGATGCTCTGTCTTCTTGGTGCTTGCGGGGGGGGGGAGTAGGAGGGCTTCTGGTGTCCTGGCCCCACTGCTGGACCTCCTGATGGCACCTGGTATTCTTGGCCACCGTGTGACACAGAGTGTTGGGCTGGATGGGCCTTTGGCCTGATCCAGCATGGGCTCCTCTTATGTTATTAACTTTCTGTATAGTCCTTTTGTTTTTTTAAAACCCAAGGGGGGTGTAAAAGGTATGCCGGGCTCTGGTGCTCAGCCCCTGTAAATCTTTCTGTGCCACTTTCCAAAATGGTGAGATGATGTTGTTGGTGGGGTTTGGGGGGGTTGTACTTCCAATGTATGCATGTTGTTTCTTTTAAGACAGGAGAAGGCTTAGATTTTTGGGATCAAGTGGGAAGCCACTAGGACTCATGGGTTGGCTCCCCCCCCCCCTCACTCTGGAAGCCCTCCCACTGTTGGGCGCCCCCCCCCAAGCACCAAGGAGGCAGATCATCCCTGCCCCTGAGAGAGTGTTCCCTCTTTACCTTGTGTCTCATAGCCGCTGTAGGGACCTCTGCTCCATTCTAAGAACATTGAATGCTGGCCTTTGGTGGACGCAGGGGTCTGATTCAGTGGCAGGCAGCTTCAGGTGTTGGTTTTGAAATGGGGCCTGCACTAGAGCAGCCCCGATACTCCCATGAACCGGCTGGAGCAGGTGTTTTTGAAACTGTCGTGAATGCCCAGGTGCTTGGAAAGTTGTGCTGCTTCCGCACAGAGTGGCACCTTTTCTCTCCATGACGGATACAAGGCCAGAAAAGAGCAAGAGTCCAGGAGCACCTAAGACAAAAATCCTTGAGCTGAAGGCTAAAAAACTGAGCTAGCTCACATTAACTCAGCTTAAGAGGGAACACTGTTTCCCCACTCTTCCACTTGCACCTGCTGGATAACCTTGGGCAGGCCACAGTTGTGGCACCGCTGTTCTTTTAAGAGCCAGTTTGGTGTCGTGGTTAAGTGCCCGTATTCTAATCTGGGAGAACCCGGTTTGATTCCCCACTCCTCCACTTGCGCCTGCTGGATGACTTTGGGCAAGCCGTAGTTCTGATAAGAGCTGTTCTTGAAAAAAAAGCAGTTTCTGTCAAGGGCTCTCAGCCTCACCTCCCTCACAGGGTGTCTGTTGTGGGGAGGGGAAGGGAAAGGAGACTGTAAGCCGCTCTGAGACACCTTTGGGTAGTGAAGGGTGGGGTATAAATCCAATCTCCTCCTCTCCTCCTTGAAAAAGAGCAGTTTCTGTCAAGAGCTCTCTCAGCCAGTGTTCCCTCTAAGCTGAGTTAGTGTGAGCTAGCTCACAGTTTTTTAGCCCCGGCTCACACATTTTTGTCTTAGCTCAGGAAGGATGGCTCCAGGGCAAACTGATGTATGCAGCAGCCAAATCGCTTGCTCACAACTTCAATGCCATTAGCTCATAAAGCAGAATTTTTGCTCACAGGACTCCACAGCTTAGAGGGAGCTTTGCTCTCAGCCCCACCTCCCTCACAGGGTGTCTGTTGTGGGGAGGGGAAGGGAAAGGAGTTTGTAAGCTGCTCTGAGACTCCTTTGGGTAGTGAAGGGCGGGTATAAATCCAATCTCTTCTTCTGCTTCTTCTTCATCTGGGTGATCATTGTTCTGTGCTGTTCTGTTTTCAATTATTCCCGAATTCTCAAAATGGTTTGGCCATTTTTTAAGGCGCTCCCTGGACTCTTGGCCTTTTCTCCTGCCGCAGACCGACTGACACGGCGGCAACCCGTCTTGATCCCGCTCCGTGAGAACAAATTCTGAGTCCAGAGGCCTCTTAAGACCAACAGAGTTTAATTCTGAAAAGTACAAATGGACTCAGGCTTTGGGTATCTGAAGACGTGTGCAGGCACAGGAAAGCTCCTACCCAGAATAAAAACTTTGTTGGTCTTAAAGGTGCCTCACTGGACCCCAGCTTTGTTCTGTTGGTTCTTTCAATTCAGACCGCCACGCTTGACCCATCTTTCGGGTGTGTTGTAGGGCTGTTTTTCGGCTGTGCTCCTGCAGAGTGCCGGGGGTTGGACTAGATGACCTGCAAGGACCCTTCCAACTCATTTAACATTCTATGATTCCCCACCTGAATTGATCTCCATGAATGATCAGGATACCTTTCTGTTTGATTGACGTGCCATGTATTTGTTCGGTGGGGTATTAACCTCACATTTACCCGTAGACACACCCGGACTCTCTAATCAGGGGTGTCGAACTCACTGGAAATGTGTTATTTAAAGTTTTTAAAAAATCTTTAATTGTGTTTGTCTGTGTCCTTTATAAAGTTTGTATCTCTGCTACCAGGCATTACGTTTTATGACCCACATGGCCTGGCCCAACGGAGACTCATTTATCAGGTCTGGCCCTCATAACAAATGAGTTTGACACCTCTGCTTCTAAGTTGGGTTCTGGAAACTCAGCTGGAACCAGGACCAATTTGGGGGAATTAAGCTCGGTGTCAGGAGGAAACCTCTTGCCGCTAGCATGGAAGAGTGACACAGTGGTCAGTGCAGAGGCGGGGGGGGGGGAGAGGGCAGATTGTGTGGTTTAGGGACCTTTATCTAGAGATGTAAGATTTCTGGAAATTTTGAAGCTCAGTAAAAAACGGAAATTTTTGGAAAAATTGAAAAAAAAATGCTACATTGGCACTTCTTTTTCCTTTTCCAGATTGAAAGTCATTCTGTTACTTTAGGAACATAAAATATGACTATGCAAACAATTATGACAAACAGAATACCCACCCACATGCAGAAACA